GTGCCACCCGATCTATGGTAAAAGAAGAGAATGGGGAGGAAGGGGGGTTTCTTCCAGACGAAGATAAAGTGGACTGAAGACTGTGGTTGTTTATAGCAGCTTAGGAATCCTATGATTGGAAGATTTTGATTAGCTAATACGAGACCAGCTGTGATAAATCATAAGCACGTGATCCTCTCGAAATTTGTTTATAAATAAACTTTTATTCTCATCACTAAATCCCGACTAAAAAGTGCAAAAATCATGTTGCAAAATTGAGAAAAATATGTCGGATCTTAAAATAAAAATGGTTGCATTGCTATTTTCGGAAAAGTAGAAGAAAATACATGGCATTACTGTTTAAATGTGTTTTAAAGCACAAAATCTTTGCACACATCAACACTTTAAAGCCTTGTTTTCACACACATCAGTTTAAAGGGACAGTTCACCACCCCAAAATTGTAATTTTCACTTACTTTACTCACTCAAGTTGTTCTAAACTGGTTTCTTTCTTCTGTTGAACACAAAACAAGATATTCAGAGTGCTGAAAAATCAGTCATTGACTTCAATAGTACGATCAAAACACGCATGTAAATCAATGAGTATTTGTGTCCAGCATTCTTCATAATATCTTCCTGTGTGTTCAACAGAAGACTGAAACTGAGCACAATTAGAGGAGTTTTCCCTTTTGAGTGAACTGCCCCTTTAAGCATGGCTTTGTTCCCAGACTCCGCCAGAGACACATTTATTTAGACACCTCTTTAATTTCAGTGTGTAGAAGTAACGCAAGTTTTTCTAGTTCTGCCAAATGAAAAGCCGTAGCTGTTGATCAGATCAACATGCAAACCTACCACAGGTCTTACGTTCAGCTCTCGTAAGGCAGACACAGGGAGCACGTCTGTTAAACACTATAGAATACACACAGATATATAGATTTATAAAAGACATATTTACAGATGCAGTGAACAGAGCTCAAGTCAAGATTTTGTGCAATTGCGTTTGTAACAGCTCAGCCGAGTTGAGGAAGTGCTATGCTATGCTGCGCTGCGCTCGTCATTAGCCACGTTTCCACTTATTTTTATGTGCATTCTGGAATATCGCATTCAAATAAAACATGCATACTGGAAACACCGTGTGCATTCATTTGCACAACTGAGGCCCTGCCCACACGAATACGGACATTTTCTAGTCTTCACATCCAAAATAAAAGTTTGTTTTGAAAACAGATCCATGAATATAAATATACACACATGATGCACATATTTGAAAAAATGTTTATTTATTTATATTTAGATAAAAAAAAATAGATATGCGTATGATATAAATTATATATAAACATTTCAACTTCTATGCAACACAATAGAGTTTTGTTTCCATAAACATGTGTGCATCACATATGCGTAATACACACGCTTACAATATGTCAAAACAAACTTTTATTTTGGATACAATTAATCTTTGAGGCAAACGCATGTCATCTCACAGGTAATTCACCTTATTTTTATAGCGTTTTTATATTATATAAATATTGCATTAAAAAACACATGTGTATTGGATGTGCATTAATTTCAAAACTGCGCATTAAATAAAAATAATAATAATGCGCACAACTGAGGGCCTGTCCACACAAACAGTGGTGTTTTCTAGTGTTGTGCAAAAATTTTGCAAAGATAAAAGTTAGTTTTGGCTTAATATATGCATGATGTATTTGTAAAAAACACACACATGCATGCACATATTTGAGACAACGTTTATTTATATTTAGATATAAATATATAGGTGTTTGATACAGATTTAAATTTCTTTGCAACACAATTGTTTTGTTTTCATGTGTGCATCACATATACGTAATACACACACTTACAATATGTCAAAAGAAACCTTTATATTGGATGTGATTAAAACTTTGTGGTAAACACATGTCTTTTCACAGGTGATTCACCGTCTTTTTATTTGCATTATAGAATATCGGTTAAAAAATGCATTTTGGATGTGCATTAGATTCAAAACTGCGCATAATAATGCACACACACAAACTCAGGGGTTTACCAGTGTTGTGCAAAAATTAAGCAAAGATAAAAGTTAGTTTTGACTTAATGTGTGTGTGTCTATATGCATCATGTATATATAAATGCACACATACATGCAAATAAAACTGAGAAAATGTTTACTCATATTTACATATATATATATACATATATATATATATATATATATATATATATGATATAAATTATATATGCACATTTTAATATCTATGTAGCAATTGTTTTGTATAATTTTCTTTATATATATGTGTACATCACACATACGTAATACACACACTTACAATATGTCAAAAGAAACCTTTATATTGGATGTGATTAAAACTTTGTGGCAAACATGTCTTTTCACAGGTGATTCACCGTCTTTTTATGTGCATTATAGAATATCGCTTAAAAAAATTGCATATTTGATGTGCATTAGATACAAAACTGCACATTAAATAAAAATAATAATAATGCACACACACAAACTCAGGGGTTTACCAGTGTTGTGCAAAAATTTAGCAAAGATAAAAGTTAGTTTTGACTTAATATAGGTGTGTGTGTCTGTCTGTCTATATGCATCATGTATATATAAAATGCACACATGCGCATATATATATATATATATATATATATATATATATGATACAAATTATATATGCACATTTTAATATCTATGTAGCAATTGTTTTGTATAATTTTCTTTTCATATATATATATGTGCATCACACACACTTAATACACACACTTACAATATGTCAAAACAAACTTTTATTTTGGATGCGATTAATCTTTGTGGCAAACACATGTCATCTCACTGGTAATTCAGCCTTTTTATGTGCATTATAGAACATCTTGTTTAAAAACATGTGTATTGGATGAGCATTAATGTCAAAGATGTGCATTAAATAACAATAATAATAAGGCACACAAATGAGGGCCTGTCCACACAAACACCAGTGTTTTCTAGTGTTGTGCAAAAATTTAGCAAAAGATATTAGCTTTGACTCAATATATATGTGTGTGTCTATATGCATCGTGTATATATAAATGCACACATGCATGCGCATATTTGAGATGTTTATTTATTTTTAGATATGAAATATGATACAAATTATATACACACACATTTTAATATCCATGTAGCAATAGTTTTGTATAGTTTTGTATCCATATACATGTGTGCATCAGATATACATAATACACACACACACATACTGTATAATGTATAATGTATAACAAACTATTTTGCATGCAATTAAATGGCGACACATCATATTTTACAGGTGATTCACCTCTGTTCTCACAATTTCATTGACTTGCATGTTGTATGATAATACTGTGTTTGGTATGAACTCGGCATAAATGGTTTAATCGCCCCCTTCTGGCTTTTAACATGCATTGCAATGCGTATTTGTTATTTGTGTGGACGGAACAGGGAAAACTCCATCTATAAAAACACACATGTACATGTAGACATGGCCTGAGTAGGATCAACATTTGATCTGATGAGAAACGATGTGTATAAACTAAGCTTGAAACCTATTAAGTGAACAAACTCAGTCAGTAAAGAGATGTGGTTTAGTTTGAACAGATGGCATGAGAACAAACCAGCGCATTATAACACCATGTCCTGACTACACGCAAATCCACAAGATTCAGCGACTAGTCTAATCAACACCCATTAAACCTCTTTAAGATTATTAAAGGTACATGCTGTGTGACCTTCTTATAAAAGCTTTCTATCGTTACCTTACACCAGGGGTGCCAAACTTAATTCCTGGAGGGCCGAAGCCCTGCACAGTTTAGTTCCAACCCTGCTCCAACACACTTACCTGTAGGTTTCAAACAAGCCTGAAGGACTCAATTAGTTTGATCAGGTGTGTTTAATTAGGGTTGGAACTAAACTGTGCAGAGCTGCGGCCCTTTTGGAACGGAGTTTGACACCTGTGCCTTACACCTTAACCCTTTAAACTTACACATACCAGCGAACCTGTCCCTAACCTGACTAGTATCCCACCTCAAGAGCCCCAGAAGTGTTCTGCAATACATCATCAACACAGCAAGTACATTTTATTCATCTTTTGAAAAGTACACAGTAGCTAAGAACACTTAATATAGGGTGTGCTCACACAAGGCATGGTCATCTTGCGATTGTCTCCCCTCTCCCCCTCGGCCTGCACTCACATACCATTTTTTGTTGACTGTTCAGTGTAAAATTGCTTTAGTTATCGCGCTTTGTATTATTTTGAGTCGGCTGGGATGCAGTGACACACAGTCAAACATTCTGCTGAACAGATCCAGCACTTTTAACGCTCATAAATGTTGATAAAGTCCTCGTGCTGCAGGTATTAGGAGGTTTGCTGAAGGTGCAGCTGTCGTGCGGTGAGGGGTTTGCGTCTTTAATAAACTATGACAGTTCATTGAACAGTAAAGGCTGATTTATACTTCTGCGTAAAGCGCACGCTACGGTGCAGCCAACGCGTTGACACAGCCCTATGCCGTGGCTGACGTGCACCTCTCAAAAAATTTTAATACACGTCGCAACAACGCGTAGCGCAAGCTCTGTGATTGGTCGGCTTGGTAGCGCTGACGAGTCTGGGCGGGACCGAGAGCCGCGAGGGCGACGCGAGCCTGATGGAGAGATTGTTTACAAGTGTGGAGTCCCGTGAAGGAGCTCCGGATGGAAAGTTTTGTTTGGTGTTTACCTCATGGTTAAAGTTGTCCGCCGGTTCCTGCCTCAAAATGAGCGAGTTTGAGCCACTTGTACATTCAGGAAGCGTTCAGAAAGAACAAAACACCAGTGAAGAACCTCAACACAGAGGAACATTTACACCTCACTGCCAACTAGCGTTTCGGAAGTGTTAATGCAGACCAACAGAGACATATAAATGCACAGCTACGTGCGTTGCATGCACCGTGGGTTACGCCAGTCACTTGAAGCAGAAGTATAAACCAGGCTTAAGAATGATTAATAAATCCATATGAAACAGTCCCTTAAAAGTCACGTCTCGTACTGTAAGCGCCCCTGAGCTCGAAACTGAAGACAAGCGTACTTTGGCAAAGCCCAACCGAACCGCGCTCTGGCACACCTCTTCCAACCAGCCAGGCCAGGCCAACTGAAATGCACCTGAGCCCGATTTCAGAGCGCTCACATTTGTCAATCCTACCTGGAAATGGAGGTCAAACGTGTCTGGGTACGGTTTGAATAGCCTAGTGTGAGTACACCCATAAAGTTGGACAAATATTAGCAGCATTTAACACTGAATAAAGCACATGATGAGCAGCGGCGGTGATTATTGTTATAGTAGTTTATGCTGTTGTTCTAGTGTGACGGTGCAGAAATAGATTAGAAATGTCATGCATCGCTTTCACGCATCTTCAGGACAAAATCTTGTTTTGTTAACATTGAAAATAAGCTTCTACATGAGCCGAAGCGTGTAGTTAGGACATGATGTAAAAGATCTAAATTGTTGTAGTGCTGCTTATAATCAGTCCGTCATCAGTATTATTCTTCTTCTATTATTATTACCTCCAGAACCGTCTTGAGTATCTGTCTGTGCTCCCGTCTCACGCCTTCAAAAGGCGTTCATTGCGTTTCGTCTTCTGAGGCGCAACTCATTTATTAGAGGAGAACAAACCCCACAGTGGAGAATCCTACAGCACTACTTCTCTCACTATTGTTTTACGATTCTCTTTGACCCATAAATTGCGAATGTCTGCGATATTCCAAGTTTGCACATAATCTAATTTATAATGGAAACACAGCTGTATATTTACTCACAGACTGGACGGTTGCGCTTGTTGCTGCAGCGTTGCGTGATGAGCAGCTTCGCAATCCTTAGACCCTTCATCCGGACGAACGTACAACAAAAATAAGGTGACGGTTGCGAAAGTGGCCGCGTTAACCGGGAACGCGCGCAGTAGAGTGGACGTGAGTCCTCTGGTGAACACTCGAAAGCCCTCGCGCTGGATGCTCTTGCGTGTGCAGTCCATAATGCTGCTGTACTGGTACTTTCCTCCGACTCCGTCTGCCTGCAGCCGTGATTTTATCACGTCCACCGGGTACGTGGATAACCAGGATGCGATTCCAGACATGCCGCCGGCGAACAGGAGTTTGGGGATCATGTAGGGATCATCCGGCTCGCAGCCTAGCGAACGCGTCAGCAGATCATAAGCCAGAAAATAAACCCCAAATCCTGGCGTTTCTCGGATTAGCGTGGTCACCATCCCTCTGTTGACGCCGCGCAAACCCTCACGCTGATAAATGCGCGCCAGGCAGTCCAGCGAGTTCTTGTAGACTTTCCGGGAGGAGGACTTCTTCTCGCCCGTGCCCTGCATCTGCATGCGTGTTTTGGCCAGCTCCATCGGGCAGCAGATCACACACTGGATAGAACCGGCCGCTGCGCCCGCCAGAAACTGGTTCAGTGGCGTATCTTCGCCCAGTCTGCGCATGGCATTCCCCTGCACGCCGAACACGATGGCGTTGATGAACGTCAGGCCCATCATAGGGGAACCGATGCCTTTATAAAGACCCAGCACCTAAGGAGGGACACGAGTGTTTAAACATCAGAGGCAGCAGGGCACAAATTCAGGACTACACCTGTAATCAGGAGCTACGTTTCCATCCACCTATTTTTATGTGCACCATGATAAGCATAAGTATTTTACACATAACAACATGCATTAAAAAAAAAACATATGCTCATAACCCAGTAGGACAAACTTTTATTCGATATGAAAAGATGCGCATAAACTATGGTGGAAACACTTTTACTAAACAAATTCCAGTATGTGCATTAAAAAAAAAAAAAGTCATGTGATTTAGCCGTCAGGATTAATGATGATAAATATTTTATTACAAGTCTGTAAGACTTATTTGAATTAATATTCAGGTTATTCACTAAAATATATCATTTAAATCATTCATGGAGCTGAATGCAGTAAATAGTCTGTATAAAAAGGTCAAAAATAAACCTGTGCATTTTATATTCGTCTACTGAGGTGCAACTCATTTATTAGAGGAGAACAAACACCACAGTGGCTTCTGCTACAGTTCTATTTCAATAGGTGTGTTCGACATGAAGCTCAGCTGCAGCCGGTGATCAAGGAGATTAGCAGAGCGCAGGCGGGGGCGGAGTTGAAAACAGCCGTCAAGTCGGACAGCAGGACACTTTGGGGCTCAAAGTTGCAGCAGTCGTGATGACCGATCACGTGGCATCGCCATCATCATTTATTTATTTATAACAACAAAAGATTTACAGTACAAATAAAACAGAATACGGTCTCTACAAACTATAGTTCATTTTTAAAAAATTAGGGAATCATAAATAATTATGAAATATGAAAAAGGGGAAACGAAAAGGTAATATAAACATACAAACGAACAGGCCTATTAAATACAAAGCAATAAGCACAAATTTTAGGAGTGTAAGCATCACTTTAGGCCAGGGGTGGGCAAACTCGGTCCTGGAGGGCTGGTGTCCTGCACGG